GGTGTCCGTCATTCGATTGGCCACTAGCGAGTCGTCCAGGTACGCAAAGTACCTGATACCCCTCTGGTGGAGGAACCCCACAATGGGGGTGGTTAACCGGGTGAACAGCCAGGGAGCGGACGATAGGCCGAATGGGAGTGCTACCCATTCGTAGTGCCGGCCTTGAAAGACGAATCTGAGATACTTGTGATGGTCCGAATGAATCGGAACATGCAGATAAGCATCCTTCAGGTCGTTCGATGCTAGCCAGTCGGCGGGCATGACCAGTGCTTTCAGGTCCGCCAAGGTCAACATTCTGAACTTGGGCGGTTTGTGTAGGTAAAACTCGTTGAACGATTTCAGGTTGTGAATCATTCTGAGTTCGGCACTGTCCTTGGGAACGAGAAATATCCTGGAGTAAAACCCCGGTGTTATTTCTGGTAGGGCTAACTCCCGTACCACCCTCTTCTCCACCAACCTGCCAATGGCATCGGCAAGGATAGGAAGATCGGCTTCCGAATAGAAACCTTTTTTAACGGGGTGACGGTGAGCGGCGGATCCGCCTAGTAAGTCTGGCTCCTACCGGGGAAGGAAAGGGAAGCCTGACAGGCTGCGGCAGGTGCAACTGTCCAGGGCCGAGTGATTCGGGTTCGCCTACGGGCCAACCGAAGTTGACGCTGTCGGCATACGAACCCCTCCAGTGAGAGTCACCTGGAGGAGCCCTTGCTGTCCTTAGACGGTTTGGGCTTCCCCCAGTGTCCCTTCTTCCCGCGAAAGGGCGGCAGATTGCCCTTACCGGCGCCCTCGGGGCGGGGCTTCTTCCCGAAGGAAGAAGGACCCGACCCCTTGGACTTACCAGCTGCAGCATCCTGGGGGGCGCTCCGCCTAGGAGCGGCACCCAGGCATCGATGCAAGGACCCATCAAGATCCAGCGTTTGCCGAGAGGCCTCGGCGGACAAAGCAGCCTGTTGTTCTTTCAGAACGCCAGGGATCTTGTTAATAAACAGGGTCCGTGCAGACCAAGGCTGCGAAAGGAGGACCTCCTGGTTAGCAGCGTCCAACCCCGGGGCGGCAAGTGGCATGTGCCGGAAAGAAAGGCCGAAGCCCCGGCGACGTACTCAAGCGAAGCATTTAAACAGATTAAACAGTTTAAATGCGCTGGTCTCGGTCCGTGGGAGAACCTTTGACCAGACTGGCTGCTGCTGCCAAGTAGGTATCCCCGTGCGACATAGCGAGCATTGAGCGCCTAGCGAGGGTGTCCAACTGCTGCAAGGTAGCCTGTGGCACCGTAGCAGCCGGTGGGGCACGAACACCCAAACGCTCAACGTGGGCCTCCGCGGTGGGACCGGCCTCGGGGAAGGCAAGGTCATGCACCGGGAATGAACCCTTTCTCCATGACGGCGGAGGCAACGGGAGTCCCCGACCAGAGGCATTGCAAAGGCTTTCTCCAGGGAAGGCTTAATACCGTGCAACAAGGTTGAAGCGGGGAAAGCCTTGTCGGACGACTCCTCGTAGACCTCGGCGGAACCCACGGAGCCGTGGATTCACCGCGGTACCTGCAGGGGCTTAGGCATGGCCTCAAAGAAGTCATAAACCATGGCCACGCGGTCCTTAACCGATAGTGGAGCCAATGGTTCGTGGGAAGGACCGGTGACCACGGGAGCCCCCGTCGCACCGAAAGACCCCGCGTGTGAACCCCCGGCCAACGAAGAGGCCGGGGACAGAACAGCCAGCAGCCTATCCTTGGATAAGGCCGCCAGCTTGGAGTCAACAAGTTGCAAAAGCAACGTGGTAACAGAGTCCCCGGTCAGCCCAAGGGCCGCCAGGGGATCCGCTGCAGACGTGGAAGTGGTACCCGCAAGGGGACCCCGACCGGACGAGCTGGCCACCACAGGGGTGGAGACAGACTGCTCGTAGAGCCTGTAGCGCTCGAATTCCTCAGGCCCCAGACTGTCGCACAGGGCACATCGGGTGTCCCCGCAAGGAACCCTGCACCGCGGGCAATGATCGTGGGGATCCCGGGACGATAGAAATTTGCGGCACACCGCGCAACGCCTGGTTGCGGGAGTGGAGGGGGTGGAGCACGGCGAAGTGTCCATGTCAGACATTGTTTATGCTATAAACAAAGAACAAATCATGGTTACAACACAAGCGCTACAAATATTCACAACAAACATTTTCACAAGAAAATAAACGAGTATTGCGAATATAGATCAACCACATATTTTAGCGTTAGAGAAATAGGTGATGTGAAAAACCCAATCATACTATAACAGGGGAACGTAAGACGCAACGTGCAGACAAAACACCCCTTAATTATATAGAGAAAAGGGCGGGAATTTTTTTTCCTTTTGGCGGGAAAAATATTTCCGAGTGTAGTTAAAGCAAACGCCCTCAATAGATACAGTTTATATGCAAGTAATAAACAGTAATAAATATCACCAAAGGATGAAGAAACAGGAACGCTTCCGAGCAGTCTTTGTACGTCTTGCTGAGGCAAGCGAAGAGACAAGAGTGAAGGGTGTCACATGGCAGCTCAGGTGGCTACGCATGTGCTGCATGAGGTAATTGACATCTCTGTGGTAGATTTCGCTATAAGAGCAGTTGTAACGTATTACTTAATGTAATTGATGTGCATCTGTCATTGTTAAAGCCACTATCCTAGAATGTCCTAGAATGTCAAAATCGGAAGACTGAGTATCTATTGTGTCTGGGACGGGAGATCCAGCGGCGATCCTGTTGTACGGGTTTGTTCGAAAGTGATCCAGTTTAGTTAGGAAAGAGTCTGATGTATCATCATCAATTATAGAGAGCAGACAAATGCAGGGATTTTCTACCTACTGCTCTCGGTGTTATCTTCTTGGCCTTCTACTCATAAGATTATCCATGTTCTACTGACGTAGATTGAGATCTTCTGTTGCTAGTAAGTCTATTGCATGCTTGCCGTAAAAGGTGATGCATGTCGTAAGAGGCGACTAAAAGGATCGGGTGGTCAGGCTCACTGACTTGTCATCCTATCCCAATTGAGTGGAGTGATAGTCATGATGTCAATCACTGGATTGTCTGGTCTTAAAGATGCATTCAAAAGATTGCCCTTTTTCGAAAAATATTATCTTTGATAATTGTCTTTTTGTATTCTGATAGTCTTTCAATAATCAACCAAAGTTCATAAACACATAAGTCCTGTCTGAAGGGTCTTGTATGCCTAGTGTTGTGATTATACTTTCCTAAAACATCAAGTTAATAGAGTAACAATTATTGTAATTATTCCATAATAATTTTTTAATTTGAAGTTTACACGATATAAGGCTTTTCCATTGGACGAGAGGTCGGTCACATGACCGCGAAATTGACGTTCATAAGTATATGAACGAAACAATTTGACCTTCATACGTTTTTCACGAGACTGTATTCTTGAAATGACGTAAACACTGACGGACTACTTCCACATTCCTGGGGAAACCCCTGGGAATTCCCTTGCAGGAAAACATACATAAGCGGTCTTTCTGATCTTTTAGAACCTTTAATCTTGGTCTCAGCGTTTCAGTATGCATTGAGTAAAGTCAGAGAGCTTGACTGCATGATTGTTCACGAATATCCTCGCTACGGCCCATCCTAATGAGCAAACGAAGAAATGCACATCCAAACTATCGTAGTATCGTCTCGATCCATGTCTAGGCTGACAGTGACTGTCTCCAGTAATCTATGAATTTACCTTAGTGTCCTAAAATGTCCTAGAATGTTCCTTGGCAATTAGCGAATTCTGGAGATGCGCCAAACGCAAATATATAGCATTTCCAAAGACAGATGGAGATGGCTTGAATGTGGATAAGTAGTAGATCTGATAATAGAGGAAGTCGAAGGGGATGTCTTTCTGTGATGTTTACAAGCACTGAGAACCAGCCTCTCTCTGGCCAGAAGGGCACTACAAAAAGTAGCTGAAGCCTTTTTGTGTCCGAGAATTTTTGCAGTACCCAAGGTAGAAGTATCGACTCGATCCGTGTCTAGGCTGACAGTGACCGTCTCCAGCAATCTATGAATTAACCATTGTGTCTGTTTGACGCATTTTAATCACCTTTCAATGATCGGCCAGATCAATGATGACTAACACATGTAACCACCACAAGTTCATTAACAACTTCGGAAACCTCTCCCGTCACGTTTATCGTGTCGGCCATTTTGACGTCTTGTACTTGATGTCAATGTATTACGACGTGCTGTCATTGTGACTGACTTACTGAGGTAGTTCTTTACAGACCTTTCTCATCTAATGGTAATATTATTTGAAAACATGTGTTGCGTAAGATGATTGATTGACTTTCACTTTGTGTGAGTTCATTGGAGTATGAACCTTCATAGAGTGAGGGCCAAACATTGTATGAACATCGCCTCAAGCTCCAACGTATATTTTTTACATTTTCAACATGGCTAGAAAATCAGATTCAAACCTCCTGGAGATTTTTTAATTGTTCTTGGTTTTACTCAAAGACAGCTACCTGACAGCCAATTCTGATGCCTTGAACAACTTGAACCCCCTTGTTGTAACAAACATCCACACAGAAGTAACATTATGGGCATTATTACAATATGGCCAATAAAAAACTAACACAAAAATAAGTAAGGAAGAATGCCTATGAGCTACAGAAAACCAAATGGAAGTTCAGGGGCAGTTGACTTCAAAATGGGTGACCGATTTCCAGGGTGAGTTGGAGTGAACTGTTCACTTTGTGGTAGGGATATCGAAGTTAAGAAGCACATTGCACACTGTAGCAGGATAGCAGGAACAAGTGAAGTTTCAGCTTCATTTGTCCATTGGTTTCTGAGAAGAGATGACAACAGATGTTGGTCCCTATGCATCATGCCAGAAAAGTAGGCCATGACACAAGATCATTTGACCTTGAGTCAGGTGAGCTAGAATGTCCCCAGTAACTTTCATGCTACAAATTTTGGGGCTGCATTATTCACTTGCATTAAGCTTGAAAGAACATTGGTGGTATATATACATGGTATAGATTACTCACTGTTGCAAAGAGTCTGTCAGTCCCTTAGCACTGTACAGCACATTCTGTGGCTCCAGAGGCTTTCGCATGGCCAAGTCCCCTGAACAGAAACACAGATGGATCATAACATTATTATGAAAAAGTGTTTTCAAATACTTGCAAACACAGGAGCATCCCTTTCACCACCATCGTTAGAGTGAGTGAGTGAGTGAGTTCGGTTTTACGCCGCTTTTAACAATATTCCAGTTATATCGCGGCGTGTCAGCTTAATGTGGGAGGAAAGCCTGAAGTGATGCAGGTCTCAGACGTTTACCTCTTCGGTGAAACCCACGAACACGGGTATGGTGCTGACAAACCTAGAAACATAATCGGGGCGAACCGGGATTCGAACCCACAATCATAGGTTTTTGGCGTGTCCAAGGGACACAACTCTGCACAGCGAATCGCGGCACCTTAGACGACTGGGCCACCTGTGCCCCACCATCATTAGAATTAAAAAGGCACCAGAACTCATTACTGGTACATACCACCACACATTTCCAGTGTGATACCATTACCTTCAATTGGGTGGGATGCTCAGATATACCAGATGAAAGTACCGTGCCTCTAGCTAAAATTGTGAGGAACTACAAGGCATTTCCACTCAATGACATTGCTTTCTGTCAAATGGCATCATTTCTGTTTTGAAAAACACATGGGCAATGCAGTATAATTATAATATTAGTCCTATTTCTGTAGCTACCTAGATAAAAAAAAAGTAATAATTACTTCCTATTATAGTCTGTTTGCTGCAAAATTGTATCTATTTGGACGATATCGCAACAAACGGACAATGTGTGGCATTTGCAGTGCAACCATAAAAACAAAAGTCTGATCCAACAACCTCAACAGTTATATCAAACAATAGTTATCATTGTTAATAATATCAAAGAATACTTCTTCTATTACATCATAGCCCTAAATCCCATATTTTGGCTGACATCACACTACAAAATCTTCAGATTTTCAACAGTTGTCTTCTTCACTGTCAACTATCCGTGATAAGTTGTGCAAGTAATCGCATCTTGCTACGCAGGCCTCTTGCACAGGTGCAAAGCAGGAAAACCTCACTTCTTTTCAAATTGAGCAATCCTAGATGCAGAATACTGGGCATCTTCCCGAGGCAAGGGAGATAAGTGACTACAAAATTCCAGTTTCCATCCTTGTCGAATTAGGATGGTGGCTATTACAAGTTATGTCCCTTCTATGTCCCTTGCGTGAAATTACTTGAATCCCTTGAATAAAAAGCATGAAAAGACCTGGAACATATCTGCCAACGTCCAGTTGATGACACACATGGTTTGGAAACCCTACAATCAACTAAAGGCGCAACTGCAACTACCCTGTTGTTTACAAACCAGTGCCTATCATTCTAAAATAACTTCTTTCGTGGTTTTAGGCACTCACTCCACTCCACTCCACTCCACTCCCTTTCTATCTGAGATAGTTGTCTTTAGCCTGCTGCAGTGGCTTTAATTATGTCCTTATCCGAAGCTGATTTGCATGTTTTCTATGGCTCCGTTGACTTTGTGACGCCCTTTAATAATACCGGAGAGCATGAACAGGGCACAGAAGTCGATCTGGTGGATCCATCACTTTGCCAAGAAAAGGGATTTTTTAAAATCTTCCCAGAGACAAGGCCTGATATTTCGCCACCAATACCGGTAAGGCACTAATAGTAATAATGCTCCAAACCTCTGCTTGTGTCGTACTAGAGACATTGAGAGCATGCTAAACAGATACTCTTGCTGCTGTGGCCATGGCAAGCAGGAAAGCTGTTTTCCTCGTCGTTTGAAGTAACGTGGCTGAAGGTTCAAAAAGAGGTTTTAAAAGCGCCTATAAAACCACTGAAAGGTTCCATTTGGAAAAAGTGCATTGAGTCTTGATGTCCTCAGTCAGAAACGATCTCATAAGAAAATTGAGCACTGGATAATCTCAATTCTTAGCCTGTCATGCTGTAGAGCTGATGTAAGGGCAGACAGGTATCCCTCAATGTAGGGAGTTTGTCCACCATTCTCAGGTGGAACAGAAACTCCGCCACCATAGGCACTGGACCAGATCCCCAATCCAATCCTCGTCTTCAGCGCCACTGGCAGAACTTTCCCCATCTGTTATCATAAACGGCAGAGGAGGATGGTCTTCAAGATCAAGCAACTTCCTCTGAAGATAATATTTTCTGCTCAATAACCTCCAATTTGAAGGTGAAGAGCATGAAGACTTCTGTGCATGATGTTGGACCCAGGTTGTAGTAACCGACTTTAGTGTTCCAGTAATCTGAGAGGTACCTCCATCAGGTGCAGAAGTACTCAGGGTCCGGGTTTGATTCAAAGATGGACAGAAATTTAGTAAAAGAAAAATGCATACAAACTCAAAAATTCCAGTATTGGTATAAATGACCATCTACCTACTGAAATAATCCAGAGAAGGAAAGTGTTGTGGCCAAGATATAAACAGGCTAAGGCAAATGGTAAACAGGCAGTGTTTGTGAGGTACAGGTTGTACATAGAGAACAGAAAAATCTACCCAGACAGTGACTATCATGATCATAACACTGGAGACAGGCAATATGAGAGAGACTATCCGCCTTTGAGGAGTAACAGAGAGACACCTTACACCCTCATATCTCCACCAGCAACTGATCAACCTGGGGAAAAGGCAAGGTACAGTGACCCTTAGGGGCAACAAACAACAACAATAGTAACAACTACAGTTGTTGTTGTTGGTTTGTTGTTTAACGACGCACTCAGCAATATTCCAGCTATATGACGGCAACAACTACAGTAATAACAAGTGTGACACTAGTACTCACAACTAAAACAACAACAACAGTACCATAAACAACAATCCCTATAACATGACTGAACTGTGTATAAAATTTATTAATGTGTGTGGACTTGCATCCAAATTGATAAATCCTGACTTCTCTGATTTTATTGAAAGTTTGAATATTGGTCTATTTGCAGAGACCAAACTTGATGACACTGACACTGAAAATCTGCCTTTGTTTGATGTGTACACCAAGAACAGGAACTCATCTACAAGATCAGGGGGTCTAGCTGTTATTGTGAAGAGACATGTATTGAAAGTGTTATGTAAAAACACCTGGGTATACCAAATGATATAATCGATGAAGTAAATGACATTGATTGCTTATCTGACCTAGGCATTTCAGATACAAGATGTTCTAGTGATTCTGGGAGAGTGAAAAATCTTGGACATAAACTCACACACATGTGTAAAAATAACTCACTGTTTATTGTATATGGCAGAGTTGGTCAAGATAAGGGTTTTACGAAAAATACCTGTAAATTTTTATCCTATTTTATCTGATGCCTATTGCACTCTGAAATTGCTTTTAAAATGTGAATCAGCAAATGTAAACAATATCACGGGTCAAACCCAATCAACAAGGGACATCTGTCAATCAGACTCTGAAATTCACAACACTGACTCCACGTGCATTCTGGGACCCTAGGATAAGACACGCGCTGACGATTTTGTACAATCAATTAAAAAAAGTGAGATTTCTTGTATGATGTTTCACATTTATTCCTTGGTTTCCGGTGATATTTGTAATTCCGATGTAAACCTTATTGTACGTAATATTAACAACATTTTCTTACACACAGCAAAATCAGCATTTGGCCTGGCGCTCGTCAATGATGGTATCCGCCTGTGTAGACCTGGATGCAATAGACCTAAGCCCTGGTTTGGACGCCAATGCAAGACTAGTAGGGGATGGTATCACCAGGCAAAATGTAATTTTAACAAACAATAAAGTTTACAAAACAAAACTCAACTTTTAAACAGGAGTCAATGTTATTAAAAAAAACCTTCTCAAATTCTATAATAGTCATCACTTCAAAATGCAAAACAATATTTCTAATTTACGGAAAAATAACACCCACTCATTTTGGAAAATGTTACATCAGGAAGAGAATGACGCAATTTTGCCATCTATCGATAAACTATTTGACTCTTTTAAAAACCTAAATGCACATAATGTAGACTCTATCTCTGATGATTTGACTGATTTTAATATTGATGTTGATGTCAATAATTGTAATGATATTTTAAATACTGATATAAGCAAACAAGAAATATGAGACATCAAACTACTAAAGAGTAACAAGGCATGTGGCCAGGATAACATTATCAATGAATATATTAAAGCTTCAGTGCCAACATTTTTACCCTTGTATACCAGACGATTTAATCTTATATTTGCTACTAGGATGTTTCCCGAACAATGGTTTAACAGAATTAATCGTCCGATCTACAAAGGTAAAGGAAGTACAGATGACCCAGGAAACTTTCGGGCCAATAAGTCTTGTAAGTTGCCTCGGAAAATTGTTTACCTCAGTTCTTAAAAACAGATTATGACAATCGTGAAATATATGTTCGGACTATACCTTGTAAGTACGCGGAATGAGATGCTTGGCCACTTTCACAGATGGCGGGATCCCCTTGAAGCGCTGTGTTGTCGTGATTTGCAAATATACCGGTTATCACCGATTGTGTTGTTTATTTAATTTGATCCATTTGAAAATATTACCTGTTGTTTTCATGCTTTGGTATACCATGGTTTATTATAGACATGCTGCCATATTCAAACTCAGTATCAAGTTTAGTGTGAATGAGTCTTGTGTTGTGAGGGAGAGCAACTAAATTATTAACTTTCGCTCCAAAGAAACATAAACCTAACTTACCCTAAAGCTATTTTAACACTTATACCTTCACCTATATAGGCTAGTAGGTTTCCTTATTGTTTTTTTCTCATTGACAACAGACAGAACACTGAACTGAACAGACAATATAGCACGTATTTATCACTTACCATGCATACTAACATTTGCTATTTAGTAATTTAGTATTGTTTTGGGTCATGTATTTCTAATGGGATTAGTGTTTTATAGTTTGACCTTAGTTATTGGTTAGTCAGTGGTGTTGAACTCAAATAGGATATATATATATATCACGGTACCGTATCATATTCATTCAGTATTACTGGTGTTATATTCTACCTTGTAGTAGTTAGCCATGAAGTAACCAAGTCACATT